GTGAGATCCGGTTTCTGGGTTTTCAAAATAAAATACAATAAAAAAAATGATAAAATTCACACTTAAAATGATAATTAAGAACAGGTAAGTGCATGTTTTTCATATGTATTTTTTAACTCCGTTACAAGACGCTTTTAAAACGTTTTTGGTTTTGCGTAAGTCTGAATAAAATACTTTAACCATCAACGATTTCTAATGTGTCTGCTATTTCTGCTGCATGAAATGATCCGCTTTAGGGTGTCCTTGGTTTGTAAATCAACCTTCGTTTTGATCTGTTTTAATACTTCCCTGTAATAACGAAGTTCTCCATTATCCCCCCAATAATTATTTTCTCACTTTCCACGGTTGCCGTCCGGTCTAGTTTGTCTCTAATCGACTTTTAACATATGAGTCTTGTGAATATTTCTACGGGGCTATTACTCCTGCGCATGCTCAGCAGTTGTTTGAGACCCACCTTTTTTCTACAAAAACCAAGGAGGCCCTGCAGAAGCTGATGTAATGTCCCTGACACAGGCTGCTGTAATTCTTCTCTCACAGCTTTGTGGAAGTGTGCAAACATTACTCTCTTCAGTACTTTTGTTGTGTTTTACTTAACATGTTTATCGCTCTGATGACGTGATCCATACTAATTGCAGTGAGATTGATCTAAATCTACTATGCATTAGAGTTTTGCTGGCGTGTTATTGTCCAAACTAAAGAACGATATCTCCTAGAGAGTATAAAGATTAGCAAAGGAGTAGGCACAGGGTTTGCGACTTTAATTACATTGAAATGTGTAAACATTTCTGTTTTTCTTGTTTGGCCAGCGAGTTGAGAATCCAGCATGACATACAATGACCCCAGCTTGAATCTGGACTTAGTTTCTCAGTTAATTTCTATGCTTTCATCATCAAATAAATATTATTTTCCCAGCTTCTCAGTTGGTTTCTTAGCCAAGTCTCTCCCTGCACTACAACCTAATTCTGAAGTTATCCAGAAACATTTCACAGTATTCATCATTAAGTAATTGTTCCTGCTTTGAGATTATTAATTAAATCATTTCTTTTATTTTAAAATTTACACCAATTTAATTCAATTTCATTTATAAAGCGTCAAATCACAACAACAGCTGCCTCAAGGTGCTTTATATTGTAAGGTAATGACCCTAAAGAATACAAAGAAAAGCGAGAAAACCTCAATAATCATACGACCAAGCCCTGAGGAAGTACTTTGGAGACGGTGGGAACGAAAAACTCCCTCTTAACAGGGCGGATCCTACCATATTTTGTTTCGGATGTTTGTTGCACTTAAATGTTTCAGATCATCAAACAAATGTAAATATTAGACAAAGATAATAAAATTAAACACAACATGTATACAAAACGTCTAAATGAAGGTGTTTATTATTAAGGGTGGAAAAAATCCAAACCTAAAAGGTCCTACATATGCCATATGTTTGTAGAATGATCCCCGTCTTACCTGGCCACACCCAACAACTTATGCATAAAACATCTGTGCTCATGGAAATCACTGATAGTTTAATTATAACGTTCTCCAAGTGGCCCTAGAGCTGGAGAGAGTCTCTCACTGAGACAACCAAGATTACAACATAACCAAACATTCTCTATTGTATCTTGACTGTCTCTCCATTCTGTTAACTCTTTAAGACACCCCAAGAGGAGGTGGAGCAGCCCAATATTCTGACCACAACACTGTAAAAACTGTAAAAACCATTAATGAATGTGTATATTTACATGCTAACTAGGTCCGGGCTTTGTAAAATGTGAGCATTCATGCCTGAAAGCCAGAGAGGCTATCGGTCTACAAGACTCAAGACTGGATGCAGGAGGGGAAATGGAGTGTCCGCTCTGACTAGCCCACAAGACCCTATGCCTTTGGAAACCTGACTAGCTGTGATGGTAAAACCAATAATAAGACTACAGCCATCAATGAGACGTGTATAGCTGCCAGCAGCTTATTTCATGGACTTAACTGTCCCAAGAGATATTCTGATAAGTCTCTAGATTTCAAACTGTAATTTTATTTATTCATTTGTATAAAGCTCTTGCATGACAGAAAACAAGACAAAATTAACAAAGGCAAACCTAAAGATCAAGTGTCACAGAATAATATGTTTGCACAAATCAAAGATGGTTATCAGGAAATTCATACAGTAAACCATTAGTAAAGTTAGCTTTTTGAAAAAAGTTCAACACAATTTAAAGAAAAGTAATTAAAATACATTTGATAATATTGCAAGAAAATTCAAATATTTACACTGCACTGATTTAACATTTTACAGTTAAGCAGCAGAAAAAGGATGAATACCCTTATGGCAGCACTTGCCTCACATTAAAAGAAAATTATACAATAAAATGTTTGATAGGATTTTTTTGATAGGATGGAGATGTTCCCTCTTAGACTACTTATTTCTGGGAACAAACTTGAGTTTTACAGGCTGAACTGGCTGAACCTTCCAGTCAAACTGAAGTGGAATCTAAAAAAAAAGAAAAGAAATGTATGTAACATCAGTGACAGGACAGCAGAGTACCATGACAGTCTAAATGTGGAGGTTTGCTGCTCTCACCATTGTCTCTTTGCATGTTTCCAAAGTGTACTTCTGCAAGAGACGGACAATAACCATCTTCATGACGAGGAGGGCGTAGCGCATCCCAACGCAGTTACGAGGGCCGAGTCCAAATGGCATGAACGCGTATGGGTTCACCTCTTCCATGTTGTCTTTACTGAACCTGCAGATACAGATCAAACAAACCTTTAAAAATGTAGATATGTAGAGTCCTATAATTCACTGTATTTAACCACGATGTTCAGGCAACCTTCAACATAAAGAGTAGGAGGGCGTAGTTCAGGGCAAAAATACACTGTTACTTCTAAAGCTTTGAGGAGCTCTCGGGCCTGATTGAGGACAAGTCAGATCAAAACCAGCTCCACACTGCAGCACCCTCAGTCTAGGGGAACAGTTCAGCTTCCAGAACAACAATGACTCAAAGCAGACAGCTGCAGAGGTTTTGGGATGAAAAAGATAAAGCAAACGTCCCAGATTTCACTAATTATTCTCTCTTGTGGAGAGCGACAGGGTTCTTCATAACCTTGTGATGACACACCTACATGCACATTTACCTCTCTGGTCTAAAAAGCTCAGGTGAGTTCCAGTAGCGTGGGTCTTTGTGCAACACCCACGCAGGAACCCCAACTATGGTTCCCTCGGGGATGGTGAAGCCATGCACCTGCACAGTTTTTTTGCATGTCCTGTCAATTCGAGGGGCAGTGGGAATCAAACGCATTGATTCAAGTATAACTTGGTCCAGGTACTGTAGACCGGTCAGCTCCTCGTATGAAATGGGTGCCTAGACAAATAAAGGCAGCAAACACAAAAAAAGACAATATGTAAATGATGTCCACTACTAAATCAGTGATGGAAACACATCATGGGACGAATCACTGTACATCTTCCTTCAGGTTAGCATCAATTTCTTTGTGCAAGGTCTGCAACGCATCAGGGTTGGTGGCCAGATTATAAAGGATGTTAGTTAGAGTGGTACTGGTGGTCTCGTAGCTTCCAAAGATGAAGATCAAGGCCTGGGAAAGCATCTCATGTTCAGTCAAACCTACGGAAAAAACAAAATCAAAGTCCGTTTATAATTAATATAATAACCCTAAAGTAATCAGTAACTAGTACTGAGCCAATCTCACACTGAAACTGACAACTGATCAAAAAGAAAAATGCCAGAGACAGTTTCCTAAATCTGAAGGTGATGTGAAGAACCACATAATGTTTGACACTCCTGAGGAATTACTTTAATAGCTAACAGATAGTTAACTGAAGGTAAGACAAACTAATCATTGCAAGTGTTTTGTGACATGGATGCAGTGTTTTGAGCTTGTGTGTTCTCTATTTTGTGTCTCTAGGTTAATTATAGCCAACTTTTGTCTGTTCCCTTTTGTGCCTGTACTGTGAAGACAGTCATGTCTCTGTATTCGTTACCTGTGTCAAGTCCTCTCGTCTCCCTCTCAGTGTAATTTCCTGTTTTATTGTGATAGTCTCTTGTCTCAGGTGCTT